GGGCTTTGTTGGAGAGCAAATTATGAGTTCTGCGGCGTAATAGGTTCTTTCTTTGGTCTTGAATTAGAATTAGTCGTTGCCGTGCGAACTTGGTGGCAAACCCTAAAGACAGATGACGGTCCGTCTTCAAGTGTTGTTGGATGCCAATTTAATTTCCACCTTCCTCGATCTTCTTCTACAAAAGTAGCCGGTAAATTAAAAATAGGGAGGTACAATCTTTGGAACGGAAATTTTATTCGTCTGCCATCTTGCCTTCTCGCTTGAATCCATCATCAGATACAGTAAAAGGCAAGAATAATGATCGCACAATGGAAGCAGTATCCATAGGCTATGACTGAGATGCAACCACTGCTGGATTGACCTCCTCCGAGTCGTTAATTACCACAATTTCCTTACCAATTCTCATTATTAGCTTGATAGCAAGACGGTAATTTTGCTCTCCGTATTTTAACTGAAAGCACTGTTCGTTCCCACCTTCCCCGCGTGAGTAAGTTCTCTGTCCAGGCGAAGTCTGCTGGCTGAATGTGGAGAGGAAAGTGCGTGGATTTTGTTTATGGAGAGCACGTCGGGATTCACCACCCACGCGTGGTGGTCACCTCTCACGAATATATCGCTGTTGTTGGTGGGTCCCGTCAAATGCGCAACCACCTCAGAACTTAAGTCATTCCTTGTCACTGCTACTGTTGCTGCATGTTCAGCCATCCCTGTTTGAAGCGGTCAGATAGCTTCCTCGGTATGATTGCCTTGCTCGCAACCACCCCACATGGGTTAATAAACTTCAAAGATTTCTTGTCGTGTCAGTACCCCTGGCTGTCTGCGCGGGATCCCAACCCCAAGAAGTGCAGGAAGGACGTCGGAGACGTTCTTGGCCTATAGGAGCGTATAATGAAATTTATGGCTGGGGCAGTTGAGTGTCTCATATCATTTCGACACGCAACGGCCAAAAAATGCGCTGGGCGCCGGGGGGTATGCGCGAATCCGATGCTTCGGAAGAATAAAATTCATCTTCCAAGTATTATTTCTTTTTCGCAGCTATAAATTAGACGTTCCACAAGTTCGTCCATCTTTTGTTGCCTCAACTTCACAGGCCTGCCAAATGACTTCTTAGCCATTTTCTGAATTTTGGAACGGTGTGTACATCACCGTTGGAGTTGCCTGCGTCTGAGACTAGGTTTTTAGAGCCACCGGAAGTCAAATCTTGCTTTCCTTTGTTTTTGGATTTTAGTTTCGTTAATTACTGACAATGAAGCCCTCAAAAGTTGAAAACAAAATTGTGTTTCGGACAGTAAGAAGCTTAAGATTACGTGTGGTGATGTGGTGATGAATGCCCATCGAGCTTTGTTAATCTCAAGAGAACTAACATAATTACATGAG